AATGCACACATATACAGTAAACTGATCTTCAACAAAGGTGTCAAAAATACACAATGGGGAAAGGACAGCCTCTTCCACAAATGATGGTAAAACTGCATATTCTCATTCAAATAAAGACATAGAATGCTGACAGTGTGCTCAAGGTTATGCTTCTCTCTCCATTTCCAAGACACTGAAGCTTTTGCAGTGAGCCCAGAGTGCATTTTCATTCTATCCTTCATGCCCAAGAAGAGCTCTTGATACCAGAGGTAAGCAGGAAAAACAGACGCATGAGTGTGCTGCCAGGAAACCTAACAGTTCATAAGGTGAGGATTAATCTCTCCTATGCATCTGGGCACACCACAGAAAAACTTTGTCTCCAGCATGAAGTAACTGCCTGTGACAGAACTCTGTCCTAAACCAAAAGTTTTGAGATTTTGCAGTGGCAGAGGCAGAAAAGAGCAGGTGTTTTAGAAAGATCATCTTTATTTTTTTATTTTTATTTTTTTTTATTTTTTATTTTTTTGAGACGGAGTCTCGCTCTGTCGCCCAGGCTGGAGTGCAGTGGCGCAATCTCGGCTCACTGCAAGCTCCGCCTCCTGGGTTCACGCCATTCTCCTACCTCAGCCTCCCGAGTAGCTGGGACTACAGGCGCCCGCCACTGCGCCCGGCTAATTTTTTTCTATTTTTTAGTAGAGACGGGGTTTCACCATGGTCTCGATCTCCTGACCTTGTGATCCGCCCGCCTCGGCCTCCCAAAGTGCTGGGATTACAGGCGTGAGCCACCGCGCCCGGCCGAAAGATCATCTTTAAACGATAAAGTAAGAAGAGGTGATTGAAAACACAGGATACTCAAAAGCTCATAAACATGACACTTCTCACCATGATGACATTAAACTCTGAAAATAACAAAGTTCACTTATATTTACCTTTCCTTTTTCTCTTTCTACACCCTCCCTAACCCTGCCAAGTAGCAGGTATAACATGAAGGTTCCTGGAAATGCTGTTTTATTAGATCCCACCTGAAATCTTCTTACCTACCTGGAAAGGTATCCTCTTCCCTGCTGAGATTCTCCAGAATCCACTCTTTAGAACCACCAACATCAGGAAAAGTCAGTGAGAGCTGCACTCACTTCTCCTACTCCAGGTGAAGACACACTGGCTCACACAAAATCTCCTGGTTGGTCCTCTGGGTTCACACACATTTCTACAGCCCCTCTGCTCATAGCTATACGCTTACAAAATCATTTGCTCTTGCCGCACCCCCAATATTTTTAACAGGAACCCAGATTAAGGTTTCTATATGTTAAAGCCAGCAAGTTTGTTTCTCAGAAAGTGAGTTAGTTCAAGGTACGTACCCCGGTCAGACAATGGTAAAATCTGCAATGAGACAAAAGAAGATGCCATGAGGATTAGATCAATTCTGCTGCACCCCTTACACAGATCTGTTAGCCTCCTGATGACTTCACAAAACTACTTGCGAAACAGTGGTGAGTCAAGGTCAAAGGCCAAACATTCTAGCATAGAGGACACGTGTGGAAAAGACAAGAGCTTTTCCCACAGAATTTCTCTGAAGGTGATTTAAGTTGGTAAATGTACACAGCCTAATCCAAGGAGAAAAACTGGTGTGGAGGAAAATTCTTCTGCATTACAGTTGATGACGGATTCTGTCCTTCAAAAACATCCTAGTGTGTCATGTATTAGATGAAAAGAAACTCAGACTGAACTCCATTCTCACAAAGAGAATTGTGTATGTTGTACCTAATGTGCCTTGTCATATTTTTATATCAAAATTAATTGAGAAAGAAAGAAATCAGGTGAAGGAAATAATGTATACAGTGGTCCATTTCTAACATAAAGTGTCTTGTACCAGTTTAGGTCAGCAAAGGACAGAAGAAATAGGATATGCCAGGCTCCTGCTTGGATGGGCAATGCCTGCTTGTTGGCCCCACCTCCTCCCCACTTAGTTGCCCTCACTTCAACCAAAGAAGATTAAGATAAAAGTTTACTAGACTGCAAAATAGCTCGCTTTGTGTGTTCTTATCAGCCTGCCCAGCTATAGCTGACTAGGAGGGCAATGCATTGTGGGCTGCAACACAATGCAGTAAGACAACCCTAGAAAAATACCTAAACCCCCTCCCCAAAAGTCAATAGGCAACACCTGGGAAGATTGTGACCCCATAGTACTCAGCCTATGAGGAACCAGGGGAGGGACCTGCACACTAGGGGATAAATTGCTTGTGGAAACTGTGCTGGGTGTGTCTGCCCATAAGATACCGGATCTTGAAACACTGTCATGAAAAGTTTCACTTTCGGCCAGGCAGGGTGGCTCACGCCTGTAATCCCAGCACTTTGGGAAGCTGAGGTGGGCAGATTACTGAGGTCAGGAGTTCGAGACCAGCCTGGCCAACATGCTGAAACACCATCTCTACTGAGAATACAAAAATTAGCTAGGCATGGGGACACATGCCTGTAATCCCAGCTACTCAGGAGGCTGAGGCAGGAGAATTCATTGAGCCCAGGAGATGGAGCCGAGATTGCACCACTGCACTGCAGCCTGGCCAACTGAACTAGACTCTTTCTTAAAAAAAAAAAAAAAAAGAAAAGAAAAAAAGAAAAAAAAAGGAAAGAAAATCTCACTTTTTCTATTTTTCAGCTCCCTGAGTCCATTCTTTGGGTTTGGACTAGTGAGTTTGTTTCTCACGTCAGAAAATCAACATTTCCTTAGAAGACAAAGAAAAGTGGTCTTACCTCAATGAAATAAAAATCATCCTCATCATCATTACCATCCAAATCATCATCCCAATCATCAGCCTCACTTGGTGGTGGGCATACTAAATTCAGGTTTTCCTCAGAAGAACCTGGAAGGACACAGAGGAAAGATCAGTGCACTGGTGG